CATATAGCCATAAATCAGGTCATAAATCTGACCATGTACACATTTGACATATGACAACCTGTCAATCAACGCTGACAGCGGTCATAAATCAGGTCATAAATCACCAATCTGACACATAGTGCATTGTAATACTACTACTGCACAGATCTCACCGAAAAAAACACACCGTCTCAGGATAGACAGGTTTGGGATCCTGGAGAAAAGTCTAATGCTTTGACAATGGTGGTAGTTATAAAAATATGGTGTAGATAAAATGATTTTCATAAATCAATTCTGTGCACCCTGGATTGATTCATAATGCAGTTGTTGAAAATCCAGTTGCTGGTGTTCAAAGTGCTTAGTTACAATACCAGTCAAATGGTTTCCGAATTTAAATTTCAAAACTGAAATGGAAGTATGGGAATTAAAGAAATATTTTTCCTATTTAACTATATGGTCCAAAAAGATCTATATAAAATTAAATCAAATCTATATAAATTCATAAATTCAATTAAAACATATAAATAAATGTAATAATTTTAAATAATAATAATACATGAACACACAATAATATTATATATTTTTTATATATTATTTATATATTTTATACATAGATCCTACAGACCAAAAATGTGTTGTAATTAGGTTTTTTAAATGTTTTTGCAATAAGTATCTTATGCTCACCAAGGCTGCATTTATTAGATCAAAAATACAGCAAATATACAGAAATATTGTGAAATATTATTACAATACCCGTTTCAACATTGCTAATAATACATTTTTATTGAGCACCAAATTAAGATATTACAATTATTTCTAAAGGATCATGTGAGACTGAGTAATTACTGCTGAAAAATTAGCTTTGTCATTCCAGGAATACATTTTTTTTTAAATATATCAAAATAGAAAACAGTCATTTTAAATTGTAATAATATTTCAGAATACTGTTTTTGCCATATTTTGATCAAATAAATGCATAAATAAATCCCTGGTGAACATAAGATATTTCTTTCAGAAACATACATCTTAATTCGTACAAATCTTTGACTGATAGTATATATGTACACATTTATATATGTATTTATTTTTTTTATTTTATTTTTTAAGAAATTCTTATGCATGCATAAGTTCTACAACTAATTTCTCTTCAAGCATTTAAAAATCGTGTGTCCAATTTTTGACTGGTAGCGAAAGTTATACCAGGCCATGGCAAATTTCCCTTATTCATAGTTTCACGGAAATGAGGACAGCAGGTGCGTACCCACGGGTCAGCGCAGTGAATAATTCAAAGGGTAAGAATCAGCTCTTTTCACCCCATCCCAGCCTGGGTAAAGTTGAAAAGGCTCGCCTGAGCTGTTGCTCTCCCTTGCCAACGGCTGCATGTTTGGCACCAAGACATACATTTCTGAGATGAGCTGCCTTTCTATCAGCCCCATTACACTCCTGGCAGAAAGATGCAGGATAGCTCTAATGGTGTGGGGAGAAGGACAAAAGAAGACGGAGAGAGGTGGCACGCAGGTGGAAGTGTGGACAAAAGTACAGCAAGCAGGATGAAAAGATGAAGAATGTGTGAATCAATGTGATAGGAATGAATGAATAAGAGAGGATACTATACAGACATCAATGTGCTCAGTAACAATGGCTTATTCTAAGAATAAAATGAAAGCATATAATGGAATCTCTAGCTACAAGATTTGAAATATAGGTGCTGAAACCCTAACAAAAAGTTTCATGGTTGCATCTGCCAAAATACTAGTTGGTTCCTGCGTTTTTTGTTACTAAATTATAATCATAGAAAAATTCTATAAAGGATCTAAAAGCACAAGAGAAATCTGTAGTGGATTCAATTATTTTCTCATTAGATAATAATAATAAAAATTAAATTAACACTAAAAAAATCTATTAATATCTCCATTATATCATCATTCAAAAAAAAAGTTTGGGGTTGGAAAGATTTTCTTTTTATGTTTTTGAAAGACATCTCTTAAGCTCATGAAGGCTGCATTTATTTGATCAAAAATACAGTAAAAACAGTAATAGTGTGAAATATTATTACAATTTAAAACAACTGTTTTCTATTTCAATATATTTTCAACTGTAATTTATTCCTGTGATGGCAAATGCTGAATTTTCAGCAGCCATTACTCTAGTTTTTGCAGGACTCTTCAATGAATAGAAAGTTGAAAAAAAAATGTGTTTTCTTTTTTTTCTTTTTTTATTTGGGTAACAATGTAAAAGTCATTACTGTCATTTTTGATCAATTTAAAAAAGTGTCCTTGCTGAGTAAAAGTATTAATTTCTTTCAAAAATATCTTACTGACCCTAAACTTTTGAACTGTAGAGTAAACTCAAAAGTTTTTCATCAATTCTATTAAGACCAAGAACTCAGTTTAGTCTAGGGAGCTATGAAAGGGCAACCTAAGTGATTTTGTTTGATTTTCTATTTCATGGCTTTACTGTTGTAACACTAAATGTATTATGGCATTTTATGAATTGGTTACATTTCAGGAAGCCATGCTTAGGGTTGTCAGGTTAATTCTATCACTAGTGTCTCATTCTTCATCTTTTAACATCTGCCTATTTTAATTTTCTCTCTCTGTGTGCAGTTTAGGCAAAGACACTCTCAAAAGCTGGCAAGGTGCTGCGCATCGATTTGGACCCTGCCTCCACTTGTGATGCTCCAGTTAGTCGAAATGAAGAAAGATCGGCCTTGTTCATTCACAGTTTGGAATCGCCCAGGAGAGATACACAGGCGAAGGTGAGGCTGAGGAAAATGAAAATGTACCTAATCCTCTCCGCTGGGACAGCGGAGAAAACTGCTGCAAATATAGTATCGTCATTGAAACAAAACACAAGATGCAGACAAGGGAATATATGAAAGGAGTGACTTATTTAGTACCTATTTGTTGTGCATCCAGATGTGCACTGGGTATCTAAGGGGAGAGAGAATGAAACTGACTGATACTCAAATATTATTCATCCTTCAACCACAAGCTGCTTCATGCACGAAACATTATGAGTGGTCTGTGAGTGAGAGCATTCAATAAATGTCTGGTACATCTACCAGACAAGGCACAGAGATTACTGGGGGAATAAAAGAGATATATTCAACCGCAGCAACAGGTGGGAAAGCCGCCACCACAGTCTCATTTCGCTGCTTTATTTAGACCTCAGACAGTCCTGGCTGACCTTCTGAGAGGTTTTAGCTCCAAGCCAGAGTAGAAACTCAGTACTTTTGCTAAGGACGCCCCTCGCTCACTGTGCCGGGCAATGCCGCATCCTTTGAAGTCTGTCCAGGCGGTTTTGGGAACTGGCCCATTCATTTAAATATCAATAACCATAAGCCAGCCTTCTCTAACACCCAAAGGCCTGACAGACAGCCCCAGACAAAGTCACAAAGGCATCTAGTAGAGACTGCTGAACATTAATAAGCACTGTAGGTATGTGTCTCACCTGAATTAGTGAAATGTTGTTTAGATTCAGTCGGAAGAGGTAGTTTCTGCAGATAAAATAAGAGAGAGATTGAAAAAGGTTAGATTGATATGATCTATCAACTGGAGATGCAATGAAAATGTACCCTTAATATGCCAAGGGAAATGAAAAAACACAAATACTGTATATATATTTTGTTTTTAAATAATACATATTACCTCAACAAATTAAATATAATGATATAACAATCAAAATTCTCAATTATATTGTAATATAAACATATTTCATATAAACATATTAATATATAAATATAGAAACTGTGTATCTGTATTGATCTGTTTCATGCATCAACCCAAACGTTGGCCAGATATTATATTATATAAGTTTTTACCTTGCTCCCACTATAAGTTCATTCCTGGTGAGGTCAAGGGTCAGCTGAGAGTAGTCCCTTACACCAGGATGGGAGAAACTGGAGATCAAAGGACTTAGAGCTGAAAGACCAAAGAAAATGTGGGTATATTATTGATACAGAAGGGAAGCAGGTGTGTTTGACAAACCATTGAAAGTTCAAAGCGTATAACATTAAAATCCATTAAAAGAACTCCTGGTTTAGGTTAACATTTGGATTAAGCATTACAAAAATGAGCTCCCCAATAGAGGTCACTAATCCAGGAAAATGAATGCAGTTTCTTCCCATGAGTCCCCAAGAACATGTGAGGAGAAGCAGAGAGCTACGCTTAAAGGTAGCTGGGCCTCTTCAAGGATACTGATCCTAATTCATCATGACACTTAGTCAAAACTCTGCTTACCCGAGGAATCTCAGAACATAAAAGCGCTGTTTGATATGAACTTTCGGAAATCAAAACAATTTGCCCTGGCAGACACTTACAGCACCGACCGGCCCTATTGAAGTGGGAATTACATCAGACAGAAAGGGCATTATGTAAATATAAAAACCACTTGATCTACTGTTGACCTTAATGTAGCTTAGTAAATGGGATTTCACTGTAAAAGGAAGCAATAAAAAGATTTGTTATCCTTCCATGCAGAATAGGATCTCTCAGCAGTATTCTGGATGACATGTCTAGCTAAAATACAGAAATCCTTGCCTAATATTACATAATTGTTACACATGGTACACAATGTTGTTTGCATTTCGAGTTCCTATTACATGTCAGGCTCAAGTTTCACTTTCCTAAGAAGCGAGAAATCACAGCCTTTACTATTTATGATAAATTGGATAGTCTTGAGTTACAAAAGCAACTCAAAATCCAGTGTAATTTACTCAATTAAACTTCAAAAAACAAACAAAAAAATTAATGCATGGGAATGCATGCACTAACAAAAATGTATATGGGTTGATTGCAAATCTAAGTCACTTTGAATTTAAAAAAAAATGTAAAAATGTAACTATCTCAGGTTGCATCTGCATAATTGCATTTCAGGTTGCTAGAAAGATTTTTACAAAAAAAAAGTAAATTATTGCATATAATAAAATTATTGCATATTTAATATTATTTGTATTATTCATATTAAATAAAATATATTAAATAAAATAAATAATATACAATACTACAATTAAAATATAAGGCTATACATACTGTCATTTCTCTTTTAGGCACAATATTAAAAAAAAATAATAATTTGACTACAGCAAAATGCTATGTGAATACAGTCGCAAACACAGCTGCAGCTTTCTCACACCACAGGTCAAAGCAGCGGTAAAACTGGTTTCCCTTAACAAGACATCCATAAATACCACTTCATACAGTCCGAATCTGTCCCGGCAGATGGAGTCATCCAGATGCTGAGGTCATCCAAAACAATCTGTCATTCACATGGGAACACAACTTGAATAAATGTGGGGATGTGTTTGCATAGAATTTACAGGAAGAAAATTTTTAAAAAAAGGTTTCTGCTATCCCGCTGAATTAATATATTAACAAACTGAATGATTGGGACCATATGGCTGCATCATTCAGGCATTATTTATGGAAAAATAACGACAGGGAAACAAACACAATCTGTACTATGCCTACCTCATCCACAAGTATTCATCTCACCCGTGTTAAAATGTGGTTATGGCCTTTGAAGACTCTGATAAAATGCGTTCAGAGAGAATCATAGAAAATCTTATTGGATATCATACATCAAGACCAGCTGTCTTACAGACGGTGATTAAC